GCCTCTAACAGAAATGAGTATCGGGAATCTTCCTGAGGGTAAAGGTCGGCCGGTGTATAAGGCTGACAACCTCACCGCCATCTGTGAGTCGATTTTCTAGAAAATGTGAGAACCTCGACGTCTTACCACCCACTGGGCCTCCACGGCATGTTACACGGATGGCTCTACCTTTTACAATTTCTTTAACCGTGAAATCCTTATGATTTTCGAGTTAGTTAAAGAGAATTTTGCGAACGCGCCGGAATTGCTATGCTTAACTCTAACAGCAGATTCAATTCAGTCGCTACTGACGCTTTGTTTTCTGATTCGGACAGTATTACTTGTGTCACTTGTGTCACTCATTCTCGCACTCCAAAAGTCCTTTAGTTGTCAGCTGTTGTGACGTTACGAATGACGTCAGACGAAATACAAAATAAGGCACTCTCCTTGATGTTTCTTATAACCCGAATATACAAGAGGTAGAAGTCAGAATCCAATAAGTAGCAGAACCTTGGTTCGAGTCTGCGTCACTTTCCATTTTGTTTGCAGTCTTCTATACACGTTTCTCTCTCTTTCTGTGTCAGAAACAATTCTTGACTAATGTCCACGGAAAACAAAATGTCGATGTGTAGTGCGTAATGGAATCACAGCTGAGAATGTCACGCTCTCTTCTGAGTAAACATAAATTCAGAAGGAAGCCAATTGTAGCCAGAATTCGTTAGGTAGAAGCAACTTTCCATTTGTGTCTCAGAACTTCAGTCTAGAGTTATATGAGACATATTCCTCCATAACAAGAACAGGAATTTCCTGAACAGCTAAGCGACTGTCATCTTCTCAAAAATTACTCTTCACCATGGAGTTAATCTGTTTCTATTTATTGGATGTGCGCTGATCACAGTGGCCGCGCTGTCTAAGGCACGAAATGTCTTCGCCTTCTCAAATATTGGAATCGTAGGTTCGAATCCCACTTGAGGCATGGATGTCTGTGTGTGTTTATTCTGTGTTTATGCTGTGCTGTATGCAGGTAGAGGGCCTTGCGACAGGCTGATCCTCTGTTCAAGGAGTCTTATCGACTGCGTAAAAGATCAAGAACTAAAAAGACGGCGAAGGTCCACAATGGCTGTAGAGCCATAGATAGAATTATTAGATGTAAGATTTGAGGTTTTTATTAGATGTTTAACGACATAAACGTACAGGACTAAGAAGGATATTTGAAGCTATATTTTTATTATTAGTTTGTTTAACTACGCTTTGATAATTGATACGCAAATAGCGTCGAATTGTAAGATGATTCATGGATAATGAGTTGGAATGGATGCTGCAGAAAGTGAACGTGAGCTAATTTAAAGTAATGTTACGTCATTTTCATGGAGAGTGTGATGAAAACCACGAGAAAACTCACATCTAGTCTCCGGACCGAGTTTTGAACCCGATCCCAAGTACGAATCGCAAATGTTGCCCAACTGACGGTCACGTTTTGTGACCCCGATGGTATTCTAAGTCAGAACATTCCGAACACAGAGTTCAGGCAGTTACGATTATAACAACATTTACGTAGAAATTCGTGTAATGGGAGTAGCAGAAAGCCCAGTATATAGATTTACTTACAGTCTACCACTTTAAAACACAATGGTATCTGTATTTACCACCTGCTTTAACATAACGAAACTCCGTATTCTGCCCACACAGTGTATTTGAGTGTTTCGTATGGTTCTCACAATAAGCAGCGACTGTTTCTAAGCATTAACCGGTTGGGCTCTGTAGCGGGGACTTAACGTGTTTCCTGTGAGGTACGTACTGAATTTGTAAATTTAATGAACGGACTGCTGGCTAGAAGTCAGTATGTATCCGGAAGATCCTACGATCGACGATCGAGACAAAGGTTTTCTTGGTTTTCCTCTGTATTCAAGCAATTGCTGAGATGGTTCCTTAGATAGAAGTTGCAACTGCATGCTTCTCATACAGCAACCCCCCCACTCAAATTCATCAACATTTTAAAGTTCTTGCGCACCCCCCCCCCCAAAAAAAATTAGGTAACCCTGAATCAACCGGCAAACCAAAATTCCGCTCTCATTGTTCAAAATGGTTCATGAAAATTACCATACAACGTGAATCATCAGATTCTGTCACGAGCGTCCAGGCTAGTGAGCATTACTCAGGCACTGGATAAATTCCATGTTCGAAACTGGCCTACCAAGCCCTCGGCTCGTTACGTCCCCCCAATCTCTCCCCCCTTTCCCCCTCTGTCTGTATTCCTCCAAGATTTCATTTTTCAAATGGTTATATAAGATAGGAACTCTTGAATCGAAGATGTTTCCTGCATGATGAAGTCTGGGAGAAATGTTTTATTATAGTCCAGGTATGTAGGTCACTCATGCACTTAATACATGTTCGGAAGGGGGTGTAAAAAGGATTGAACCGAGGAAGGGATACGATCGACATTCTCACAAATGTTCACGCCTCAATCACAGCAGACGGTCGCAGTGAGCTTGAAGTGACTGCATAAGAGGGACGGATTTAATGCAACGCTTCAAGTGAATCGGTGAAGTACGCCATTAGGGAGTATTGGGGAGTGGAGGTACAGCTCCACGTACTAACATCGGAACGTTTCTGTAGGCCGGAGGTAGTTTAAGACTCGAATTAGTAATAAGCTTCTGGTGATATTTCCCATTTTCTATTTAGATTTCATCTTCTTGTCAGATGTCGAGATACTAAATGCATTTTGGCATATAGACAGAGTCAGTAGTGAAGATGTAAAGTTCAGTACATAACAACCTGTGATTCTCCCTCCGTGTATGGGTATCAGAGAACAGGAACTGAGGGGAATATGTTGACGTAAAATTATGAAAAAAATGCATAATAGCGAGCTGACGCTGATTCCTCGCTAGCGGATTTTTATACCCTGAAGATGGAGGCGATAAGTTTCTCCGAAACGTCGGTTCATACAATATCTACACGGTGCTACATCCCAGAAGACGACATTCTTCATAGTTACCGCCGTGAAAACCTCAAATCTTACACAGTCGCTGTATATGGTGAGAACCATTCGGAACACAAATACACTCTGTGGGCAGAATGCAGAGTTGTTTCCTACAGTTACCACTGAACCTTAAATGGTTAAACTGCAGTCAACCGTCGTTGCACCGGAGTATATACTCGTACAGTATGTTCTCATTGTGTCGCATGATAGCAGGGGCCATGTTAACAATTCCACCGCCTTCTGGATCACGGACATGACCACACGTCCGCTTGTAATGGGAACGGCTTAACATACCCAGCTAGTCAATCCAGAGCGCTTTCAGAAATGTCTTTTTTTCTCTCTCTCCCATTACCTTGGAGTGAAGCAGTTTTCAACCCTCGCCCAGGCGATTTTATACGGAAGGGAAACAATTGGTTTCGTTTTCCATTTAGTTTCATTCGTTAGTGCTTTATAGCCATTAGGATATTGCTTCATATATAAACGTTGTAAAATCTGCCAAGGGCCTCCATATTAGTCTATTGTGGCAGGGATACAGGACGAAATCATAGCATAACTAACTGAACAGAGCAGATCCCTTCTTCTGAACTAGTCGGTATAGCGACGGTCTAGACGGCCGGTGTTCGATTCCCGGCAGGAGAAAGATTCATCTGTTATCCGCAGCGTCCTGACCGGTTCTGGGGCCCACTCAGCCTCCTCTTCAGTGGGTACCAGGGGTCTTCTCCCGGGGGTAGAGCGGCAGGGACGTGAAGATTACCACCCATCTCCATCTAGTTCTGAGGTCAAGAATGGCGGAGCTATACAATATATCGTCATGGCATAGTGCTCAAGTAATTAAGCAGAGGCACAACTGCACATTTTACCTTCACAAGCTGGTAGTTGCTCATGTAATAAAGAAATTATCAGAATTTTTTGTAGTGTGTTTAACGATGCTGTGAGTGACTCAGACTATATATATATATATAGATGAACCGGGCTAGATATTGTGGAGAAGAGAAATATTATTTAAAAGTAACAAGCGACTAGAAATAATGGCGTCTTTTCGTATCCATGTTGGACAGTAACCGACTTCCGGTCAGTCGTATAAGGATGCAATGCTTGCTAAGACACACTCACGCGAACATTGTCAAGACGCATTCCTGATCCCTAACAGTTCGATTCCACAGATAACAGAGAAAATGAACTAAAGAAAAAAAGGTAAAGCTATACCTGTAACAAGCCGTGGAGGCCCAGCGGGTTGTGAGACGTCGAGGATCCCACATTTTCTACACAATCTGTTCACAGATGGCGGTGAGTTTGTCAGCCTTACGTGCCGGCCGCCCTTTACCTCTAGGAATATTCCTGATACTCATTTCTGTTAAAGGATGAGTCGACCCCAGGGCCATAATGCAGCTGGAAGGATTAGGTCAATTGAAAAATCCAGTGACCTCATCGGGAATCGAATCCGCGACCTTCCGACTTGTAGCATAGTGCCTCAACCAACTCTGGGCTGGACCACCTAGGAAGTGAGGAGCTTCGTAACTTGTACTTCTCGACGAATAGGTCGGAGAGAGTTGATAAGTGAATAAAATTTTTGATCAGAAGACCTGAAACGTAGAGATGACCCTCCAGACATAGGCGTAGATTAGAGGATGATATTAAAATGTATATTTGAGGAGCAGAATTTCAGTGTGTAGACTGGATCAATTTCCATCAGCGTATGGACCATAGATTGGCTCTTGTTGACACTGTAATGAACATTACTGTCGCCTTGTAAGCGGAGCTTTATAATCTAGTAGAAAGGTAATAACGTTTCAGAAGAACCAGCTGCATCTCTTTTCTGGGTACGAAATGACAAGGTGAAGATGATGGCAGAAGATTCCTCCAAATTGTTGATAACTTTCTACCTGAGTTCACCGCCTTACAGCCCAGAAGACAGACCTCTTCACTTTCACCACGCCATGAGGACCTCATACCGCATGCACTAATGACCCACAGGATTCCGTGAAAGGTGGGGTATTTATAGACGTGCTGAGCAACTGTCATTGTCTCTGCCTTGTTGCAGGTACATCGCAGTGACGCAGCCCATAAAATATGCAAAACACAAGAACAATCGTCGGGCATGGCTGACCATCGCGCTGGTATGGGTGATCTCCGCAGCGATAGGCAGTCCCATTGTACTGGGCCTGAACAACACGCCAAACCGCCTCCCCGACCTCTGTCTTTTTTACAACAGCGACTTCATCATATACTCCTCCCTCTCATCGTTCTACATCCCCTGTATCATCATGGTGTTTCTCTACTACAACATCTTCAAGGTAAGTGTCTTGCCACAACGTTCCTTTTAGGCGCCAGGGTTGAATAGACTGTTCACCTGTTGCTGTTGTACATGTGGTTAAAAACAGACGTATATCAGTCGACGCGGAGCATCTCTGTACCATTTTTCGTGCAAAGAACCGATTTCATCTTATCGGGTTACTTGCGTTAACAACTCCACAGCCAAAGAAAACGGTTCGATGTTCAACATTTAGTGCAGTATTTCTGTTAACAGATGGCATCAGGTGTAATATACCAATGTTTACAGGAAAAAAAGGGCCGGATGGCCATTGCCTGGGCATTTTTTGTATACACATTTATTTTTTCAAAATATAAATATTAAAAGAAAGAACTGGTATTCGTCTATACATGTTGTGGTTTGAAGGCCACCTGAGGAAGTTTTGTAAGGGGTTTCTTTGCAATTGTATTTGGCCCAGAACATCCCTGTCCTCTTCACAGCCGCTGTCCGTGTTCTTTACTTTACTATATCAGAGCCTTTTTTTCAATCTCGGCTTGTTCTTATACCTTGAAGATGTAGGCAGCATGTTCCAGCGAAACTCTGTAACAATTTAATAGAATACATGAGGCCATGTCCAAGAGATAAGTAATCTTTCTGTTATTAAATAGCGCTATCTGTAGGTACACTGCATGGCATCGAATCGTAGATCGATTGATGATGAAGTGGAAAGGATTTGGAAGGAAACAGTCGAGGCATAATTGAGGTACTGCCCTGATGTTTATTTAGCTGAATTGTGCCCTACATTATATGAGTGTGAAAAGTAGGCTTAGTTAAAAACATATTGGCATTTCTCTTCCAAACAGAACTTCATTTCCGTTATAAAAGTCATTGAACGGAAGTACGTATATACTGTACTAAGTTTTCGTGTTTTGTTATTTATAAAGTTGATGGCCTTTAAAAATACGTGCACAATTCTCTAGCGGTTTCTTGCTTCACGAGTTGAATGAATGAATGCATAAGGGGTGGGCCATAATAATCCGTCCCTCTCACCGCGACCTTCAATGATCTGTTGTGCTTCCTTTTTGATTAACCTTTTATCAATCCTACAGTTCGAATGAAATGTAGGACTTTGTTTATGGGGGCGTCATTGTAGTCACTTGGTTCTGTAAAAAACTGGCCTATGTGACGAAATCTTAAATAAGCTATGGCCTCACAATTACATAGGATGTGTGTGGCTGATTATCTTTTTCCAGGCGCCGTTCACAAGTGGGGTCATCTGTCAGTGCCAGTTTGCAAAGATGTCCTTAGGTGACGGTGTCCTGTATATAGCCCTACAACCCATCTTAACTGGGCCCTGCTTAATTTTAACATGTCCTTCGTTCTTCTGTCCGAAGGCCCTAGTATAAGTCCCTTTGCCCGTCCAGTTACTGATTCCAGGTGTCTTTTATGATTTCTGTTTTTCCAGTTCCTGACCGCTTTCTTGGCATCTCCAACTGAGTTACACATACTTCCAAACAACACTACAGCTTTAGTAACAGGTGTAGTGAACGTGTTTTCGACACTTCCTGTACCCACAGTTCATTGTTTCTCTCAGAGACACGTAGATTTACAGTTTAATTACGGGTAACTACAGCCAGGGAAGCAACACTTCATGTTTATTCATAATTACCACGTGATGCTGACAACGCTTAAGATTTCGAGCAGTGGCGGCTAGTGAAATTCAGTAGTCATAAATACCAATCTTTGTAGTCAAAATTGTTTATTTTTCCCCAGATTACTACTAAGTGCTGAGTAAATCCTGTCTCATTCTGACTTTGACGGAGTAAATTGGCAGGTTGACTTGTATTCGGGGGTGTCAGTTTCGAATCGCGGTCGGATCACCGACTGTTCTGACAGACGTTCGTCACGGATTTTCTTAGACCCTCCAGGCGAATTCCGCGAAGTAGACCATGACCACTTCCCTAATCTTCCTTTCCAATTCGTTCTTCACAATCATCTTACCATTCGGCGCTATACAGTCTGAGAAAGTGACAGTGTCTTTATATAAACCACAAACAAACGGAATTGACCGATGTTTACGAAATTTCGTTGGATCAGTCAACCATCGGTCTGGATGCCTCTATATTCAAAATGATTCAGTGTTCAGAAAAATTTCATATGCTGCATTGTGTGGATGTGGACAGTGTTTCTGACGTTTCGGATATATATTCTGCCTAAAACTTCACATTTTGTCCTATTAACACTTTTTATTTCGGGAAGTTTAAGTAATTATGAGAGTTTGGAGGCAAGATGAAGATCCTTAGCAGGACTAAAGGAATTTTGATGAAAAACTTCATAAACTAAGTGTCAATAAACAAACACGGTACGAAGATTATTCAAAATGTTCGCCTGCGGCATGTATCCACAGTTGAGCATAGTCTTTTACTGAAGTGGTTGGCAGCACTGTTTTCAGATATGGACAATCCAACCTTCTTCTTTTTATGTCCGCTAGCGGATCAAGGGTTTTGTGTAATTCCTAAGCTCTTGGTTACTTCTGATACTCCAAAGCCGTTGCTTAGTTACTGGACCAATCCCGCTTCTCGAATTTTCCATCTCTCGCGTGTTTAACATAAGTTTATCCTTTGCAGTTATGGGTCCCACGTTCCATGCATATACATCACAAGTATTAAAAGTTCGATTATAATTCCAAAATATGGAAATTCTTATGGATTAAAAGAACTGTATCGAAATGGACCGTACCATAGCTCAGGCAGTTAGACGCTGACTTCCATCGCGGAGCACCGGATTCGATCTCCTGTGACATCATGTTAGATTTGTGGTGATTGAAGTGGCAATGGAGTAGGGTTTTCTTCTACGAGTTTCTTCAGCTTTCCTACGCTAATGATTGTGCCACCATTGCCTCATACTTACCTACAACTGCCACCATTGCCTCATACTTACCTACAATTGCCCCCTGAAATTTACGATTGCCCTGGGCATGCAGCACATTATCACTTTCTCGGACTTAAGTTGGGGGTTTCATGTCTGACCTAGCACTTCGCTGATGACAGTAATAAACTAGGCGAATACTACTACTGTTTTCTGGGTTATGACTTCATGTAGTCTGGTAGAAGTTTACGGATGTGTTCGGAGAAACACACTGGATCCATCTTGAAAGTCTAACCGAAGAAAGGGGAATGCTCTCCTTGCTAACATTTCGGCTCTGAAGATGGAACCAGTATATTTCTTCAAAACATCGGTATACTTCTACGAGACTATACGGCGTTAAATCCCATCCGAAACTCTTCATTTCACCCCCGCGAGAATCTAAAATCTCACCAAGATCGCCACCTTAATTTTACATGCTTCAGATATTTTGAATAAAGAATCACCGAAATCCGCCACTGGACCGAATGGCTTATTAAAGGCTACTTGGTGAGACGCGCGGCCGTGCAGTCTGAGCCACTGAGAATTAGGAGACAACTCGCAAAAATCACTTCTGAAGCCACCTTAAGTTTACATGGCTGAAGTATTTTGAATAAAGAGTCGCTGAAATCCGCCACTGGGCCGAATGGCTTATTAAAGGCTACTTGGTGAGACTCGCGGCCGTGCAGTCTGAGCCACTGCGAATTAGTAGACAGCCTTATGCAGATGAAGGCTGCCCGTCCGACGTTTACTGTATTGTCTGTGCAAGTTGCTGCTTATTATTTCATGTAAACGTTGCAGCTGCCGAGAACTTCATTAAAACAGTTCCACCTTGGAGCCCATAATCTGAGCTTGGTTCCCAGATGGACCGTCCTCATCATAATAAAGTTCTGGTCTGTTGATTGTTCAACGGCACCTCATTAACTAGTGAACAAGTAAATAATATATAGTTTTAATTTATCTCACTCCTGAAGATTTCCGTAATCTGTGATGCAGTCTGGTACATCGTTACAAACGATTCCTACTGCTTACATCTGCAGGGTAAAAAATGATTTCTCTGCCCTGAAGATGGATATGTGTTTGCGGTATTATGTAGCTAAAATATTGTGACATGTAGACCCATTCCCAAGTAACAGCGTAACAGTTATATAAACAAGCTACAGTATAACAGCCGTTGCTAGGGAACAGCTCTGTGTACATGTTTCCCCGCCAACGAGAGAACATGCAATAATGAGACGTTTTCTATGTGGTCTGTGCCGGGGCTATATAACGTTGAGTCAGTTGAGACGTACATACCTAGGAGGAAGTAAAAATGTTGGTCATGGATTTCTAGGAGACTGAAGCCAGGAATGAATGTGCTGGCGAAGGCCAACAGCAATTCGACCAACCGACTGAGTTGCAGTTCCGAGAAGTGACAAACTGGTAGCTGATCCTGGGACAGTTCGGGAACCCAGGGAAAGGGGAACGTCCGCCGTTGTAAGCCGCTACCAAACAACGGCTAGTGAAGAATGAGAAGGCTTTATGTGTGCTGTAGTTACAGTGATCTTTGGAGTATGTTACTCAGTGAGACTGCCGTAGTTATTTGTAGTTACCTTCTGTAAGTGTCCAATAAATCCTATTACCAATCCAAACAAATCTATAGTCACACCATCACGGGACATTATGTGTGAATTTTCATCATCGTCAGATAGAGCCACAGATTGTTAACGCAATCAGCATGAAGTCACTAGATTCCATTCTCAAGGTCTGGTAGCAATCAAAATCGCTACGAATGCACAGGACTTTCCTTCTGTGAGGTTGACTGCTCAAGAAATGATGGACGTTCAGAAATGCTCTAGGCAACGTGATGTGGTGCCTTTTTTAACGACACTGTCAGTAACTAGACCATAAAGCGTCAAATGGTAAGATGATAAGTGAATAATGAATTGACAAGGATTATGGAGGAAGATATCTTGGCCTAGTGGAATTATTATCCTGGCATTTGGCTGCAGGTACTGAAGAAAACAACGAAAAAACTTAGGGTAACCTATGTCTCGCCCGAGATATGAACGAAGAACTTCCCGGATTGAGACAACACTTTTCGTTTCTATGGAAACGAAACGCAGAAGTGATCTGTATATGTGTTTGAAATTCCCGCCT